TATGGGTGTAAATTTCATTCCCGGGCTACTATACAGTCTCAAAGGCAACGTAACCAATCTGGCGAATTTCAATTTCAAATGTAGCGTGCTATATTTGACCCTGTAACTTCCCAAAACGCCATAAAACCTGTACATAGGGGGTACTGTCTTACACGTGAGATTTTACTGAATACAAATATGTGTATTTTATTGCAGTAAAAGCAAACAGTATTATGACATTGACCGTTAAAATGTCATGTAGAACTAAAAATTTTTTAAAAAATCGTATTTTCTCCCATTTTTTTCATATTAAATTATGTTTCATAGCTAAATATTTGATATTAAATGAAAGCCCTGTTTCCCCTGAATAAAATGATATATATAATAAGGGTGGGTGCATTTACTATGAAAGAGGTGAATTACGGTTGAACAGACATGTAGCGCAAATGCCAGGTTTTGTTTACATTTTGTTTTGTTCACAACGTGTACATTTGGCTCCGTCCTTAAGGGGTTAAAATAAATCCACTCTCGTTTATTTTGTAGCCGTAGTGCTTTTATTCACTTTTTTTTTAGACCTCAATAAATACATAGAGGAAAACAGAATTAAAACCAGTACATTTTTCAAAAATGTTGAGGTAAATAGTTATATTCAAGGAAACAGCTGCCATTACTCCCCATGGCTTTTAAATGCTGTGAAGTCCCAGCTTATGAGGATAAAAAGGAACTGCACAGATAATGATACATTTTGCCAACAAGCGCAAAAAATTATTATTCTTCTTTGAATAAAATTTTAAAAAATCAGTTTAATGAATGCCGTGGGTGGATGTGACGCCTGTAAAAATACCAAGAGCTCTAAACGACACCTAAAAGAATTCCAACATCCCCAAGACAGTAATCAAAAATTTAAAATTAGAGAGATTATCACGTCATTCAAAATATGTAATCTACATGATAAAATGTACATGTAATCTTATCTACGTAGGACACACTACTCGCCCTCTGCAGGTCAGAATACAAGAGCATGTGCGCAACATTAGAAATGGATAAATTAAGCACAGCTTATCATTGCACTTTAAAATCAAGCATAATAGCGACCCATGACTTTTTTAGGGATTCAGAAAGTAAATTTTAACTGGAGAGGTGATGACATTATTAGAAAGATGGGACAAACGGAAATGAAGTGGATTTTTTATTTAAATAGCATGCAACCAAATGGTTTAAAAAATTATTTTGAGCTCTGCCACTTTCTTACATAAAACACTGTTTTTATGTTTATACTTTTAACTTTTTATATATTTATTCTTTATTTATCCCTATTTAGATATCGTTTTTATCTAAATCTATCTATTTATTTTTATATGCACCATAAATAGGGTTATATATTTTATTCATTATATGTGTCAAACTACAAGTAATTAACCAGGATCCTTTGATACACCATATATATTTGATTGTGCACATTCTTTATGTTATAAGTACCCACTGTCAGGGCCGGCGCGTCCATAAGGCGGCACAGGCGGCCGCCTTAGGGCGCACCGGCCAGGGGGCGCAAATATCCGGGTGACCGGCAGGAGGGAAGCGCACAGCTCCCCTCTCCTGCCGGTCACTTCTTGTAGCGTGGCCGAGCGCCAACCTGCAGTGCCGCGGACTGTGTGGAGGGGGCGGGGATATGAACGTCATATCCCTGCTCCCTCTGTAGCACACAGCGCGGCTGGTGCCCAGCAGGGGCGGAGCTACCACCGTCCCCTTTTTTGTCAGCATGGGAGGAAGTCCTCCCAAGAAGGCAGAGAGGAGGGGGGCTGGGCAGGACCAGCTCCTCCAACTCCCAACTACCTCAGGCAGCACTCTGGATCCCAGGTAAGCCACCCTCCTGAACCTGTTGGTCTGTGTGTGTATCTATGTTTGTCAGTGTGTGTGTGTATGTATATGTCTCTGTCCCTGTGTCTGTGTGTATCTAAATGTCTGTCAGTGTGTGTGTATGTCTGTCTGTTAGTGTGTCTTTGTGTATGTCTATCATTGTGTATGTGTGTATCTGTATGTCTGTCAGGGTGTGTGTGTGTATCTATGTCTGTCAGTGTGTTTGTATATGTCTGTCAGTGTGTGTATTTATGTCTGTCAGTGTGTGTGTGTATCTATGTCTGTCAGTGTGTGTGTATGTAAATGTCTCTGTCTGTGTGTATCTAAATGTCACCAACACTACACACAAATAAACACCTGCATGCAAACGTCAACACTACATACAAACACACCCCCTGCATTCAAATGTCAACACTACATACAGACACCAAAATTATATATAAACACACACCTACGTTTAAAAACCAACACTACACATAAATGCATGCTTGCATTCAAATGCAAACACTACATACAAACACACCGCTACAATCATACAAACATACTCCATACAAACACATGCTTACAGTCAAACACACAAATACTGCTCCATGCTAAATACAATCCTGCAAGCATGGGGAATCGGTAGAGCCCCAGCTTTCAAAGCATTGTTGAAGTTGCACGACAGATGGGGATCTATCTTTTAGCCATCCTGTGTACATACACAGACCGTCATACAGAGACATACAGTATGTATGTCTCTGTATGACTGTGTGTATGTATTCAAAAAGAATAAACGCAGGCAACACTCAATAGTACAACACAATAGTACGGATGGTATATTTATTGATAGGTGAACCACCCCAAAGAAAGTGCGTCGTTTCGGCTCAGCAGAGCCTTATTGCATGAGCTGAAACATCACACTTTCTATGGGGTGGTTCACCTGCCAATAAATATACCATCCTTACTATTGGAGTGTTGCCTGCGTTTATTCCTTTTGAAGACTTTACTGGTGGATCCAGCGATGTCCGCCTGACATGGAGCATCCACCACTGTTGATGGCCGGAGCATTTACACGGTATCAGTGTGCAGGGTTCTTTGTTTGTCTGTGTATGTATGTCTCTGTATGCCTATCTCTATGTTTCTTTATGTCAGTCTGTATTTCTGTGAGTGCCTGTGTCTGTATGAATGTATGTCTGTGTTTGTATGACAATGTACCTGTATGTGTAGATTGTATGACTGTGTTTGTTTGTGTGCCTTTTATGACTGTGTGTCTGTATAGCTTTGTGACTGTGTGCCTGAAAAATTATGTCTGTGTGCTTGTATGGTTGTGTGTCTGTATGTTTGTGTATTTGTGCATGTATGTATTTTTGCCTGTGTCTATGTGGGAGAAAAAGAGAGATAGATAGGGGCTGGCGGGGAAGTAAGAAATACATAAGAGGTGTTGTAGGAGACACACTAAAGGGGGGTGTAAGGCAGTAAGGGGCCAAAGGGATAAGACATTCAAGAGAGTGGATATGCAACACTAATGGGGGTAAGAAATTCAAAAGGGGGCTACGAGACACAGAGGTGAAGATGCATTGTTTATTTTTTTTGGGGGGGGGTGAGCGTCAAAATGCATCTTCGCCTGTGTAGTCAAATATCCTAGCACCGGCCCTGCCCACTGATAATAACATGGTATTTGTGTATATCATAGTTTTTCTGTATGTAACTATGTTTTCTGTTTTTTATTTTATATATACACATTGATTTATATGGGACTTTTGTGCAATATATCTCCATCAAAAATTGACTTATCGATGGAGTAAATGCCCACAAACAAATGGCCTCCTATACCTCTAAATGACAGCACAATATACGATACCAATGAGAACATGCGCAAATGGCCGCCGAGAGGAATAGGATGGACGCATTGTACATCACTTCCGGGTTCAGAGTTCCCAGATCTACGCCCAACAGCCGTGTGAAACACACCTACGCGCTACCCACATCGCGATTGGCTGATCGGCTGCCAGTCAGACTGACAACACATGGATTTAAACGCCGCTCATCCAGAAAGCAGATTCATCTGATCGAGAAAGTCATACCGGTGTTCTATCATTCTGCTATACTCCGTCAGATTGCTATACCCCCGTCACTTCCGGGGAGGGGAATCAGCTGGATCCTGTGCTGCACATGCCTGCTAGCACTCCTGCTACTCCTCCACAGCAAGGTCCTGGAAGGTAAGTAAAACTAGTTTTACACTTTCATTATAGTTAGTGCATTCACTAAGCTTAGGACATGGGACATTTAGGGTTAATGTTAGGATTAGGGACTTGTTCATATTTAGTGATATTTCACATTAGGGGAATATCACTAAATAGTGATTTCTCACACTTTATGTTAACCCTTACCCCAAGGGTTAGGGTAAGAATAGAGTGTGAGAGAGGTTAGAAGCACTTACCTAACCCTAATTTGAACCCTCACTTAACCCTAAATGTCCTGTGTGCCTAAGCTTAGTGAATGCACTAACTATAATGAAAGTGTAAAACTAGTTTTACTTACCTTCCAGGACCTTGCTGTGGAGGAGTAGCAGGAGTGCGCATGTGCAGCACAGGAGCCAGCTGATTCCCCTCACCGGAAGTGACGAGGGTAGGGGATTTTCACGAGGTAGGGGAATTTGATAGAACACCGGCGAAACGTGTCTCGGAGCCCAAAGGAAGACCACCTCAGTGATTTTACACTTGGTATTTGGACTTGCTGTAACTTTTACTTTATTTTTTTGTTATATTAATAAATCGTCTTTTACACCATTTACTAAGTAGTGGATCTCCTACTGCTTCTTTACAAAGAAGGGGAGTGCCTCCCTTAAAGGCACAGTGGCGTTGATCAATGAGCCTAGTATTACTGGCTCTATTCCAGGTGAGCAAACACTTGCACAGTCACTTTGAATGCTCCCTTATCCAAACATATTTGCACTAGGATATTTTGTGTTTTGTCTCCTTATATTCATATATCTGTGAGCTGTACATCTGGAGAAGGTCTGGTATTACCATATATACCCAAGCTGTTGTGATTTGAGCCAATCTCCAGACTCTCAACCATGTGAGTTGGATATATACCCTCTCTATACTATATCCAGATTTCACTGGCATACTGCACCATGATGTGTCTAATTATTTTATTCTAGGCCATTTTTTTTTTTTTTTTTAACGTCTGTAAAGAACATTTCATCTTTATTGCTTTGGCTTGAGATTGGTGGAGCCCCCTCAGAGTCTGTGCAATTTTATGAGACCTTCCTGCAAACTGTTCTGAGATACAGGTAACTGCAAATGCTTGGTGACCTTAAACACATAGTCCAATGGCTGGAATTTAAAACTTTTAACTATGAACTGAAACTTGAAAACAAACGCGCCCTATGAATTCCTCTAAGATGCTCCTCATGCGGGACCGAGAACTGCACTGAGTTTGGAAGATGCTTCAGCAGGAACTGACTTTAAAGCATTGTGAAAATCTTGTGGAAACTTCTGTGCGATGTCCCTCAAAAGGAGAATTAAACAGTTCTCTGTATCTGGTTGTATTTCCTTTGTGCCCAAACAATGACCAAAGATTCTAGCAATTTCTGCTAACTGTGTGATAACCTGAGAAGTGAAGTTCTCGTATAGGAATGCAATGCACTTGAATACTGTAGTATTCTTCTCAAAATCCTCTTTCAGTGGCATAGAACGTAGCATCACTGGAAAAACCTGTTCCAAAGGAACACCGTTTGGGTGACTGAGCACCATTCGACTTACAGCCCCACACACATTGTCCATAACCCGTGCGTTTTTCTCACAGCTGATAATGGAAGACAATATGGAGAGAAGCTTGGGGTATTGTTGATGTATAACGTCACCACCATGCTCTGCTAGGACACCAAGTCCAAACACTGAATTACTCCGCACTTCGTTATCTTCATCTCGCACCCCTGTGATAAAAGCTGGGAGGATTTGCTGTACAAATTGAACTGTTGCTGGACCAATGGCCACCACAGATTCTGCCAAAGTACCCACTGCAAAGGACTTCTCCGCTGGTGAGCAAATGGGTTTAACTTTGTTAAGGAGCAATGGAAGAAATCCAGCAAAATATGGGGCAAATGTGGCGCCACCGACTGCTGCTGCGATCAGAGGAATCCCCTCTCCTGCATATTCTATCAGCATGGAGTCCATCTCCGCCTGCTGCTCATCTTCATCATCTGCATCAGGATCCTGACACAATGTCTTGCATTGTAAAACGGCTTGGATGACAGTACACAGTAGGTGGTTCAAAGTGTCCAGGATAGACATGACCACTGCACGTTCTTTATCGTGTAGCGCCCCATGCAGGCAAGGAGGGATTAGGAGAGAGAGGAGACACAACAGGGCTGCTGTGTTGGCTTCACTTGGGTTCTTCTTACACACATTATTCATGGAACGTACTAACTGCCCCAAAGCGTCATATACTGCCTTCCGGACTCCGGTATAAGGAGACTCAATATGCTTAGACATCTCCTTGAAGCATGAATCAAGATAAGGGAAAAATGAAGAGCTTGCATTGTATGCAATCTCGCCTAAAGCTAAGCAAGCATCTTCTTTTTCCTCTATGTAAGAGTTCTCCACACTGAACCCTTCAATGTCTGGATCCTCCTCCTCCTCTTCTGCATCCTTAATCACATCATCCTCATCAGCTTCATCTTCAAAGAGCATGAAGGTGCGATTCTCACTGTAATGGACCACTATTCCTTCCTTCGACTTCAGGGACAAAAGCATTAACGTTGTCATTTTCTCTAGATGCACAGAAATTGAATCTTCCATGATCCCAGACAGAGCAGCAAATAGGCTGTAAGCGCAGCGCCTCATATCTGGGTCATCCATTCTGTCACAAAGACCTAGTCCCAGAAGACAGCAATCTTCTGCCAAAGGTAGGAAGGCATCTTTTCCTAGATTTCGTACCAAAACGCCAAGCGTTTCAAGACATTGTATCTGTATGTGTTTTCCTTCTTCTCCAGTCTGTACAAGATGAACTTTTAAAGACTCCATCACGGAAGAGAAATATGGTAAAAGTAACTTCTCTGCACCATTGGCAATAGCACCAAGAGCACTCACTGACAGCTCTTTCACTCTGTTACTGTTCGAGTTGTCTAGGGACACCAAGATCCGTTCCATAAGAGTGGGCAGGTATGGTTCAATCTTACTGCCGAGATTCTCCACAAAGTTCTCCAGTGCATAATAGGCTTTTGTTAGATGTGCAGTATGGGATGGATCAACTTGGGAAATATACCCCAGGAGAAGAGGAAGTACTGAATCTGAATATTCACTGATATCCGGCTGTAGATTTTGAGAAAATTGTCCCAAAGCAAAAAGTGCAGCATTTCTCACAACTTGACTTTCATTTGACAAGGCTTCACACACCACTTTCAGCATAGACTTTAGATGCTTGCTGCGAATGTGTTCAGCACAACCTTCACTGAGCACACCTAGACACATAAGACCGGCCTTCCTCTGGTATGGGTTTGAACTAAGGAGACAGGGTTCTATAAGGGGTGTCAGTTGAGGGAAGAGCTTCTCAGGAGGTAGATGAAGGGCTAGCATGTCAATGACCTGAACTGCAAAGTGTTTAGGGGTCTGCACTTCAGTCTCCTCCTCCAGTATCTCACTCTCATCTTCCTGGTCCTCAGGATCCATCTGGCCAGGAGGAGGCTCCACACACATGATGGGAAAAAGAGCACTAAGAATTGGAGTCAGCAGCTTCTGCTTTAGGATGGACTTACTCTTCAATTTGATAAGGAAGCTGAGACAGGATAGAGCCTTCACACGGAGATTATCAGAAAGGGATGTGTTTACCGCCAACTCCAAACAGAAAGGAATAATAATCTCAGCAAGGTGATGCACAACAACCGACACTTCTCCTTCCATTAGCTCATCAAAAACTTCCATTGCCTCACAAGCCTGAACCTCATTGCTTTGTATCAGGTGTCTGATGGCGATTAGTATCTTTGCAATAAGAGACCTTAGTAGATTAATTTCATTGCTTGCCATTTCTGGTACAACACTGGTAAGAGACTGCAGAGTATAGAAGAGAACTGGAGGATTCTGGAGATCATTCAGAGTATGGTGAAACATTTTGATCAAGTCAGGGAAGTGAGTTTTGAACAGTTCAGCGCTGAGATCCAGAGCACACTTGAGAACGAGGAGACCAACCTGATGGTGTTCAGGAACTGCACTACGAGACGTCTGAAGTACAAATTGGATGAATTGTGGCCAATGTTCCAACTTTTCGTTTCTCAAGATAACAGCCGTTAGTTGAGCAAGAGCATAACGCACCTTGTGCTCTGGCTCTCTCTGGATAGCTTCTAACAGAAGAGATTTCAGGTTTTCTTGCTGTTCTTTAGGGATTAGTTTCCAGTGTTTAGTGAGGCACCTACGCAACAGAACTGCAGCAAATTGGCGGATCTGCATATCTTGAGCACCCCTCAGAACATCACACAACGCAGGGATAATCAGAGGATCCTTTACCGCCTCTTTAAGCTGTGAATTCGGACATTCGGGTACTTCCGAATTGCTGAGGTTCCGAAAATACCGCCGCTCAGGGGTGGGGGCCAGGGGGGAGGACATTAGTATTTAGGGCCCCCACTGTCCTAGAAAACACCGAGGGCAGACCGGCAGTGACGGGAGAAAGCCTGATCAACTCTGAATATATGGTAATGACTTGCCTATATATCCTGTCCCTGTGATTGGCCGTGTCTACGTCGGCTGCTGGAGAGCACCAAAGACAGGTAAATAACTTGCCCGGATTGTATAGTACCTGTATATTGTCTATCTGCTTCCTGGGTGTGAATTTCTTTTGCATAAGGGGAGGGTGTTTTGCAGGCAGTTTGTTATTTAGCTTTACCGCTACAGCACCGTAAGCGCGCAGCAGGGGAATTTGCAGTTTATTATTTGGCTTTACCGCTACAGATCCATAAGCGCATAGCAGGGGAGCTTGCAGTTTATTATCTAGCATTACCACTACAGCGCCGAAAGCGCGTAGCAGGAGAATTGCATTTTATAGGTTTACTGTTACAGTGCCGTAGGCGCGTGGCCGGGATTTATTGTTAGCCTTTGCACAGTGAGACATGTGGCATTATTCTTGAGTTATTTTAAGGGGTTTGTGTTTTGCTTGCATTTATTGTGATGGGTTTGTGATTTGATTGTGTCTGTGTTTTGAATCTTCTGGTGCATATGTCTATTTCTCTGGAATACGTGAAATGAGTGCAGTGTGAGTCTGTTTTATTGCTTTCCTCTTCTATCCTGATGAGAGAAGTGTTTGGTCACACACTCCTCACCCCGTTCCTCAGGTGGGTGGACCCAGTGACTAGTCAACGTTTCGGGAAGACGCACGCTGATTAAAATCTCCTGGCAGTCGAGCACTGTAGATGTTCCTTTCACTGATTGTCTCTATCTTGTGACGACTTGTGTAGAGAGGATGGGACAGGAGCATGCAAAGCCCACTAAAGGCTGGTTAGCCTGTGACATAGTCAGAGAGAGGGAGGGTATATGAGCAGTGGGGTAAGTGAAGAAGTTAGCCAAGTTATGTGGCATTACTATGTCCTGCAGCGGGCGATTACAGCCAGAGGGCTGGCGCAAGTTGTTAAAGGAGAAAAAGGGATTATTGCAGGACAATAACCTAGTACAGACAGCGGAGGCCTGGGACGAGAACCCCAAAGTCCAGTTTCTCACGGATGGGGCCCCTTTGATGTATGTTTCCTTCACCCCGTCCCAGGCCGCAACTCTGGTGAGCTCTCTCTCAGACCCAGAGAAACAGCCCATGCCCTTCTACCGAAGGATTTCCCAGATCTGAAAGAACTATTCCGCAGCCTGGCATGATTTGTTTAGCATCTGTGAAATTAAAGCAGGCAATGCCTATTGGCCCATTATGGAGAGAAGCTTCTCCAATGCTCGACTCATTAATGCGTCTGACTTCGCCTCCGGGGTTAAATTGTGGGCTCAAGATAAATTAGCTGATCAGGGCACCTATATTAATGATGTTATCCAGGATAAGACAGAATCAGTGGAGAAGTACCACTCTAGGTTGTCCCAGATCTTCTCTGACCTGGGTTTCAGTTTGTATAACAAGGCCCATACCCAAATGCTCTCTGCAGCCTTCGTGGCAGGCCTTAAAGAATCCATTCAAAAAGGCCTAATCCTGTCCCACCCTGAGTACAGAATTATTCCTCTAGATACCCTCCTGCTGGTTGCAAAAGGCCTAGAGTCCTCCCAATTACCCTCACCTAGGAAACCAGCCCCTGTCATGTTCTCTCGTCCTGTACACCCACACCAACCCTCAAGCCTCCCTGAGAGCCAGGCCCTAAGCCATTCTATGGGCCAGCCTCCTATGCAACAGCAACAACAGAGAGGGTGTTATAACTGTGGTCAATCCGGTCAGTTCAGGAGAGACTGTTCAGCTTCTTGGGCCCCTAGACAGTACATGTGGGATGTGAGGCAGCCTACTCTCAGGTTACTCTCAGTTCCAGGCCCCCAATTACCCTGTAGCTCCTCACCCCTGCCAATTACCCTACTACCAGTTATTCCCCTTTCCCAGCCAGCCTGCTGTCCAATATCCACCCTCCCTTGCATCAGTCAGCCACCCTTACACTGGCCCAGACCGTGCTCACCTTGATTTTGTGCAATAGGTAACTGGCAAACCTGTGTCATCCACTCCTGTCATGGCAGTGTCTACAGGGGATAAGGGAGGGCACCTAGCCACAGTGGTCCTGCCTGTAGAAGGCCACCCAACCACCTTTTTAGTTGACACAGGCGCAGCCCGAAGCGTCCTTAGAGAGCAAGACCTGTCTGACTTCTCTTTTCTCTCCAATATTGATGTTTCATGTGTAGGTGTAGATGGCACTCCCCAGAGTAACCCACTAACCAAGCCTTTACAGGTGGGCACCTACCCAGACCTCCTAGTCCGTTTTGTGGTTTCCTCTACCCGCCCAATTAACTTGTTAGGAGCTGATGTCCTCTCCCGTTTCCAAGCCTCTATCTCCTTTACCCCAGGTGGCCAGATACAATTGTCCTTTCCCCTGTCCACTACTGACACTTCGACCCTCTGCTCCATACCCCTCCTACTCCATATGAGTCTCCTAAAAGGGATGTAAGGGTCCTAGATGACACCCCCTCCCAGTGCCTTTGACAGAATTCCTGCCAAGTTGTGGTCCACCGGCCCAGATGACATTGGACGTCTCCAAGTCCCCCCTGTCCCGGTGAAATTACTTCAAGGTGTCAATCCACCCCGCAAACCGCAATATCCTCCTGAGGCCTGCCCAGGCCCTTGCTATCTCCAAACAAGTTGAAAGCCTGTTATCCAAAGTTGCCCTGGTCAAGTGTGAATCTCCCTGCAACACTCCCCTCTTCCCCGTGAAGAAGAAGACTTAAAAGGGTGAGACAGAAATGTACAGGATGGTCCAAGACCTCAGAGCTATCAAGGATGCAACCGTTCTGGTGTCAGTTGGGAATGCCCTCAGCAGCGCGTCTACCAGCGTGCGCTTGTAGTCGCGCATCTTCCGATCACGCACCAGTGAGGGAATTAAGGACGGCACGTTGTCCTTGTAACGGGGATCCAGCAGGCTGGCCACCCAGTAATCAGCACAAGTTAGAATGTGGGCAACTTGGCAGTCGTTGCGCAGGCACTGCAGCATGTAGACGATCATGTGTGCCAAGCTGCCCAGAGGCAAGGACAAGCTGTCCTCTGTGGGAGATGTATCGTCTGTGTCCTCCGTATCCCCCCAGCCATGCTCCAGTGATGCCCACGAGCTGTGTTGGGTGCCACCCCGCTGTGAACATGGTTCCTCTTCCTCCTCATCATCCTCCTCCTTATCCTCCAGAAATGTGCCCTGGCTGGACAATTGTGTACCTGGCCTATGCTGGTGCAGGAACCTACCCCCCTGTCCCGGTGAAATTACTTCAAGGTGTCAATCCACCCCGCAAACCGCAATATCCTCCTGAGGCCTGCCCAGGCCCTTGCTATCTCCAAACAAGTTGAAAGCCTGTTATCCAAAGATGCCCTGGTCAAGTGTGAATCTCCCTGCAACACTCCCCTCTTCCCCGTGAAGAAGAAGACTTAAAAGGGTGAGACAGAAAAGTACAGGATGGTCCAAGACCTCAGAGCTATCAAGGATGCAACCGTTCTGGTGTCAGTTGGGAATGCCCTCAGCAGCGCGTCTACCAGCGTGCGCTTGTAGTCGCGCATCTTCCGATCACGCACCAGTGAGGGAATTAAGGACGGCACGTTGTCCTTGTAACGGGGATCCAGCAGGCTGGCCACCCAGTAATCAGCACAAGTTAGAATGTGGGCAACTTGGCAGTCGTTGCGCAGGCACTGCAGCATGTAGACGATCATGTGTGCCAAGCTGCCCAGAGGCAAGGACAAGCTGTCCTCTGTGGGAGATGTATCGTCTGTGTCCTCCGTATCCCCCCAGCCATGCTCCAGTGATGCCCACGAGCTGCGTTGGGTGCCACCCTGCTGTGAACATGGTTCCTCCTCCTCCTCATCATCCTCCTCCTCGTCCTCCAGAAATGTGCCCTGGCTGGACAATTGTGTACCTGGCCTATGCTGGTGCAGGAACCTACCCTCCAAGCCACTTGTGATAACCGTGGAAATGGCCCCTCTTCCTCCTGTACCACATCCTCTTCCATTTTTTCAAGAAGACATAGAAGTGGGATAGTAAGGCTGAGAACGGTGTCACTGTTACCGGGAAACTGACAGAGGCCAAGCACAGAGAGATGGACACAGGTTTCTTCAGGAAGGAAGAGATCTTTATTCGATTCACCGACCGGGACTCAGAGGGACTTATGTCACCAAAAACAGCAAAGATCTGAGCACTGAATACATAGAGTACATTCCTTATATAGCACTGTAGCTCCTCCCATAATTAGCTACGCCCACACATACCCTTAACCAGGGCCGGACTGGCCCACCGGGATACCGGGAAATTTCCCGGTGGGCCGTCGGCCCCTGGGCCCGGGCAGGCAGCTGGCTCACCTGTGGCCGCAGAGACAGCTCTTCTGGCGGCCGCAGGGGGAGCTGGCTGTTCTGTCTCTGCTCCCCCTCCCCAGCGCACTACAAAGAGACCGGAGCCGGAATATGACGTCATATTCCCCGGTCAAATTAAGTGGCGCGCTGGGGAGGGGAGCAGAGACAGAACAGCCAGCTCCCCCTGCGGCCGCCAGAAGACTCAGCTCCTCCATGCGGTCGCCAGCACAAAGGTAGAAATTATGTGTGTCAGTGTGAGTGTGTCTGTGTCATGGTGAGTGTGCCTGTCTGTGTCATTGTGTGTGTGTCTGTCTGTGTCATTGTGTGTGTGTGTGTCTCTGTCTGTCATGGTGTGTATGTCTGTGTCATGGTGTGTGTTTCTGTCTGTGTCATTGTGTGTGTGTGTCTCTGTCTGTCATGGTGTGTATGTCTGTGTCATGGTGTGTGTGTCTGTCTGTGTCATTGTGTGTGTGTGTATGTCTGTCTGTCATGGTGTGTATGTCTGTGTCATGGTGTGTGTGT